AATATTATACTGGCCCTATATACTGTAATATACATCCCCAATGTCGCTGGCCGTACTTGCTATTCGTCACAGCAGGAGCGTATGAGACATCACCTAGTAGTTTTATAACACGCTGGATATAAAGTTATGCTAATTATAAGATTGCTGATTATTAGCATGATTGGGCTACCCCATGGCGACAACATGCAATGATTTTGACCTTGGCAAATCCTGAAAACATAGGCTTAGTTATGATTTATCTCCGTTTGTGCAGCAGTGTAGGAGAATTGCTGTGTAAAGAAAACCCATACAATTATCGAAACACGATAAGGCATATTAATGAATTGACGGGAACTAGCCGGGACTATTAGCAATAACTAATTCAGTTCAGAGATTTTCTGAAACTTACCTCGTTTTTCGATGACATGATTCGATGACGCAGCGATGGCTAAATCGTATCGACTTATATATACAATAATAAATATTATCTGAAGACGTCGGAAAATAAACCTAAAAAATCCAGCCATTATTTTAAAATAAGCATTTTCTGGGAGTGTGCGAGACAGCAGACCCTATTCCGATCCTGCATGCGCCAGCGGTAAACGGCGTGTGACTTGTAACTCTGAACACACATGGTCTTTACAAAACCATCGCGGTTTGATTTATCTATCTGTCTAAGGTGTCACGTATGATTTACATTGCCAAGTTTTTTTTTGTTGTACTAGGGTTTCTGGTTATGATTGCAAACGCGTGTACCACCTGAAGCGTTTAATTCTTATGTACACGTATTTAGATTACTCTTCTACATAGCGGTACAGGAAGGAGTCATCGCAAATTTACAATAGCTTACCCTATTACCTTGTCCTACAAGTGATTACCAAATAGGCATATCATGTTTTTAATTTAAAGCACTTACTTTCATAGAGCAGCAGAAGCCATATATATCCCAGTGTTAATAAAATCCGAAAATCCAGTTGAAAAAAATCCATTGCTCGTAATAGCATCACGCGCACGCGCGCACGTAATCAAGATTTTCAACTTAAAATTTATAAAAATTTTCGAAACACGAACGTTGCGAAGTCGAAGAAAACAGACGAAACATAATCTAGATAGAGTTGTTGATACCCGAGAGTTCTACTTTGATGCATTCGTGTAAGAATCCTCGTTCATTTAAACACCAATCCAGCGAGTGTCTCCTTATAACGTACTAAATGAGTTTTCTGATTGGACGCAGCGTATAGCGTCTTGCGTGGCTGCGCAATTATTACACTATTATGACTACGTAGTTGCCTCTACTGAGCCTGCAGCTGGGCGTGTGCATTTTTTTACAGCTTGAGTTGTCAATCATAAATAATAATAGTTTCTGTAGAGGAATCTGTCACTGTTTGGATATTGTTGCCTGGATTTCCCTACTGGGGCATTACATGAATACTTCGGCCGTGTCCGTTAGCGAGCAAATATTTGCTAATTACCGGCTATCGGGATAATATCACAAATAGGCTACCGTACGATTCACATCATCTTCGACATAATAAAGAAAATATTCATTGCGTCATTCAGGTCTGCAATTCCCTAATGTTGACTGCATTTTATATTTAACCTGTTGATGACTAGATTTTAATCTCATTAATTTTTAACAATTAAAGTTTAGGCATAAAATACGCATTCTAAGTCAGGTTAGGCGATTTTGCTTTATCTTGCTTGTTTTTTTTTTTAAACAGAAATACTCCATTTCAGTTTTTAGCGGCAATAGTATTCTTAATTTGATGTCAATACCAAGACTTTATAGAATACAATACACATCATCAATAACGTAACGGAGATAAGTAATCGATACAAAATAATAATAATAATAATAATAATAATAATAATAATAATAATAATAATAATAATAATAATATAATAATAATAATAATAATAATAATATGTCGTTCTTATATAGCGCTTCATGACTTTATAAGGTCTCTAAGCGCTTAACATTACGGTATGGTAATAAGAATTAATTATGTAAGAGGCGCATTACATGCCTTTCCGGGAAACACTTTATGTTTTCTTTAAAATTATAATTCGTCTGAGTGCAGACATTATTTATGTTTTTTCTAGCCCTAATGCCATAAAAAAAAGACATTGTAAGTGTGTCGAAAACTAGTTTTGTTTCACGCATGTGCAAATTATTCTTAAATCAGTTTTTTTCAAAAAACAAAAAGCAGTCGCCTGAATAGCAGATGACATTGGTTTCTCTCACAGAATTATCTTATTATACAATTTATATAGGCCTAGGCTGTCAATAGGCCTAATAGCATTACCACAAAACAGTAGAGTGTATCTTTTACTTGTCGGTCTATCGTGATTTACTTAAAGGTTTTACATCGGAGATCCTATTTTGTCGTTTCAAATGCTTAACATGAGCAGGGGCGGATCCAGAGCTGTCCAAAAGAGGGGGAAAAGTGGGCCGATCGAGATAATACTACCCCAGGGGGTCCGGGGGGAATACCCCCGCGAAAATGTTTGTGTTCTAGACGCCCGAAAATAACCTCTGAGGCGTTTTGGGCGATCATTTTTTTCATCTCTTTCTTTTTTTTTTTCTTTTTTTAACCTTCCAAAAAGGAGGGGGGAACCGCCCTGATGAGGGCGTATCATGCTGACTATCGAGAACTAGCACCGCTCTATGCATGTGCAAAAAGAGTGTATTATCAGCTTCTAATTAGATTTCTCAACGAAACGGTTTTATGGAAACCCGTCTCTGAGTGATACAGCGACTTAAAGGCTTTATGGGTTATCAATAAAGAATTAATTGAAAAAGTTTAATGAAATGTAAATGTTAAGACGTTAAGGTGCCATTTGATGCGACAATAAAATACAGTTGTTGAAGCTATTCGAGAGGGCGTTTATACGACAGCAGGCTAATTACAGATCATAGAACTCAATACAAGGCCGTTGCATTACATCATGTTAGGGCTTAAAATGAAAAGAAGCAAAATGCGCAAGTAGATCCATGTCACGTATAGAGAAAGATAATATTTATGTTCATATTTTGTTGAGATATACATGTGTTATGCCATCTATTGTTTCATAGCAAACACATGATTAAATGCCATAAAAATTGTATTTCCAATACATAACATAACATAACATAACTTTATTTGAAATCTACACTTTCGAAACATAACTTTATTTGAAATCTACACATTCGAATCGGTCGCACGCGTCATGCGGTGGTGCGTTCACATAAATAAAATATACAGTGATACTTAAAATCAATTAATCTTAAGCTAAGCATTTAAAAACCATTCAAAATAAGTTAATACATCAATAGGATGTGTTCAGGTCTAATGGACCTTTCTGGACTGCCACCAACCTTACCAACTGACCAATCAGGATGTTTTAATCAATAGCCAGAGATACGCGCATGTCCCACTCACAAGGATACGTAAGTTTACGCTGAAGTTTAAGTTCCCACAGCTAGCAACAATATTCAGGGCGGAGCGAAAGGTTTTTATTACATTTCATCATATTATTAAGGCAGTCTATAATACAGAATAACACAAAAGTCGGCTAGGCTATGTACTAAGTAAGGGTGAAACTTCTATTGGGCTAAGACACCCAAAACTAGCAATGTAATGACTTGAGTGAACTCACATGACGAACACTTCTTTAATAAATGAAATATCAATTCCTGACCCAAAATGTTTGACAGCCCGGCGCTGCTACAAACTTGAAATTTAAATAGTCCGAAATAGTGAAGTAAATGACTACTCAAAATCAAAATATAGTAATGTTACAGGCTATGTTATTGTTTGATATTCTACACTCTACTGTGAAAGGGCCCCTCGCTCGACCACTTTCGTTACACCCATAATCGATTACTAAAATGTGGGACCGCAACATTTTCTCGCCCTCGGGTTCCGTGACTCGTCGTTACGCCATCAGGTTTGACCCCTAAATAACAAATATAGTGTTATGGTCGTGGCAAGGAGGTAGACAATTATAATATCCAACTTTATGGCTTAATCATTCGGACATTATATCCGCCGCTTATAAGTTTTTGAAACGTTTAATCCTAACGATATTGTAGCCAAATGCCGATTCGTGTGTTGATACGGAGGATGGATCTAATGCCATCGGGCTTTAAAAAAAAATTAAAAAAAATAAAAACAGGTCGGAGGCAAATGTTTAGGTTGCCTCTGAATACTCTCAAATTCTCCTAAACCATCTGTTGTCATGGGCCTAGGAATAATCAACAAATATATTTTAGGCAGTGCCTATAACATACATGGGATGATGGATCGATTCAATTAATACATACAATTTGAAATATGAGGATTATAGTAATTTTTGAAAGTCGTTTAACAGATAAACAGTTTTTCACAAGACAAATTAATGGAAAATATTAATGACAGCACGTTTCTGAGTAGTTGTTTGTTGGAATGCTTTCTATTTGGCAATGACAGCCGAAGGAACGCCCTGGGCACTTTCCGCAAGATATTTACGTAGTAGATCATTCATCTCAACGCATTTCAAACCGGGAAGCACTCGTTAATCTCGCGTGAAGAACAACAAATGTCCCTCTTGACAGCTTTCTGCTTGCCGTATTGCATATCATATAGTTAAATGCGCGATTTGTATGTATAGGAAACTATTATCAAATTATCATCGGTTAATAACACTTTACTGTACTTTCAAAGAAATCCAGAGGCAAAATTTGAACACCAAAACTATTAGGCCTACTCAAAGGCCTACTAGAACTTGTTCTTAGCAATGGCATGTTCACAAATTGGAAAAATTGTACTAAGTTTTAAATCTTAGAGGGGACGGATGTCAACTTGCTGACGATATGTTTGGATTAGGCTATCATTTTTCAGTCCTGAATAGGCATAGTTATTCTAGATGGCTACAGTGAATACATTTATTTATTTTTCTTATAACACAAATTTGTAGGAGCGGTTTGGCGCAGCGGTTGCGTTTCTGATTTTAACCTTGAGGTCGCTGTTTATTTCGATTTCTATGCACTAGACTACACAATATAGCTGTACGTGCACTGTTTATCTCAATGTGCGCACGTAGCGTGGGTAAGCCTACTGTACCCAGCAAAATCAAAATTTCATTATACAGTATATATCGTGTCTGTTCGAATAAACGCCCCATTGGAGAGGGGTTTTTTGAACAAGGATTCTTTAATAATAAATTTCAGATAAAAGCGGTCCTAAATTATTGAATACAGGTCAAATAATATCATGTACTCAAATGAGGCATGCGTGATGTCGGCTTATTTATTTCAATAATGTAGGTCAAACGTTGGAATACTGTAACTATTTTCGATTGAATATGGAGACATTCGCAACCATTAGTACGGTAGGTTTTGGAATATAAACATACCATACATTGTACATGCTTACATAACTTTGCCAAGTACCGTAGTAATTATCGTTCATAAAATTTTACTGAAATTGGAATTTGTTTTCAAGTACCTCTTCATATTCAAATGGTAAACTAATTATCGAATTATGAAAACCCCCTCGGACTAACTGCGAACGTTGGAGCGTAACTGTGACGGCAACGGAGGCACTTTAATGTCATTAAATATCGTGTGTTCACGTTAGAAATCTGTCGGAAATGAGGCCTAGATTATTTCAGGTAATGTCACGAATTGTGAATCATATTCGTAGATCGCCACGGCGGCAGACGAGAAGTGAACACGAAAATATATTAGTTTTTTCTGATAGTTAAGCGCCGTCATGGTTTAAATTACTATGCACGAGGGAATATTAATTCCCCAGTGTCAAAAGCCGTCACGCGAATTCGAAACGTTTTCAGTTCGCTGGAGTGTTTTCCAATATTGCTGGCGTACGTATCGGAGATGTTCGCCTTTAGCGTGAAACATCCCAGGAAACACTCAAAGATGAACCATTCCTTTCTTGTTTGCCATATTAAAAAGAATTTTAATATTAATCTTGTTGATTCAATGTTATTTATCAAAATGGTAATTAAAATATAATTGCCTGTTTTCTATTTATATATATATATATAAATATATACATATGTATATACATAATTATACATATTTCATCAACGAAAGTTCCTTATCAACTATCCTTATATAGTTGTATGAAAAAAAGAGGTCTCTGGTGGGAATCCGAACCGCAATCTCGGCGAGCGTCTTACCGTTTAGATCACAGAGGCCCGTACGAAATCATTACGGATCTAAGACAACACTAGTCTCTTCATTCATACAACTTAAGGGCTCACACATAGTGGAGCCAATTTTTAATCTACATAATAGCTTAGGTAGTAGCTGGTAAATCATAGCAAATCATTTTGAATATATAATTGAAGCATACGTGGATTGTATATATATATATATATAGCAATTTGTGTTACTTATGGTTATAATCTGTATATTACGCCTGAGTGGTGCTCTTTATTATGATGGCTATCTTGAATAGAAGCCCTGTGCTTCTTTTTCTAGGACCCTTTGAATACACTTCATTTCAAGATTTGCTAATTTTCGATATGGGCTTCTCGAGATTACTTTTGCAAACTAAAGACGGGGCTTCTTTTGAAAATGAATGCTGTTAACATATAATAAAAATAAAACTTTTGATATAATTTATTACCATAAGAAAACAAATAATAGGCGAGCGTCTTACCGTTTAGATCACAGAGGCCCGTACGAAATCATTACGGATCTAAGACCACACTAGTCTCTTCATTCATACAACTTAAGGGTTCACACATAGTGGAACCAATTTTTAATCTACATAATAGCTTATTAAATGCATGTTAGTTTTAACCTAGCACAGCTTAAGGTATTTTCTCTATTAAATTGCTACTACAAATTGAATGCGTACACGAAATCCTGATGACCAAACTCAGTTCATTTTGATTTCAATTGTGTGAGAATTATTTTAACCATGCTACAATAAAATATTGAATCTGACACGCTATCATAATCATAACATCAGTCGGGACACAAGCACCCTCTTGAAAATAAGCCCATACTATCTTGATTGCAAGCCCATGGTCTTTTTGAGAGGGGCTTCTATTTAAGACAACTTTTGCAACTAAAGAAGTGGGGAGGGGGCTTCATTTTGAAATGATCTGCTTCTCGAAATAAAGTCCATTGGGCTTCTATACAAGGTTTTACGGTACTATATGTCACAGATACCATATATAGCTTTAGGGGATCCAGTAAATGAACATAATGTAAACTCATACAGTTAACGTTTACTTTTATTGAAACTTGACGTGATATGAATAAAATGCCATCACGTGACATGTACAATTACATATCATTGCTTCATCTGTACACACTTGCTATATATAAAATATTAATGTTATATGTCCCCTGATAAGAATTGTCAAAAATTGCTTGTGTTATATAAAATATCATGTTTACAATAATATATAAGGTGTTATTGATTCAACATGTTAACAGTAACAGTGCAGTATTTTAAGACCTTAATTCTAGAATTGGAAAAAAAAAAACCTGTATGGTTAATACATACTTCAATTGAAATTTGATAATGTGAATCAATGCAGTAACTTTATTGCTATAACACGTAATTAGAATATATTATAAGTATGCTACTCATATTTCATAAATTAAAATGAATCAAACATTAAATTATAACATTTAAAGTAATCAATAACAAATTAACTTACTGTAATGATCTAATAACTGGTCTTTTGAAACGTGCCGCACCAAACATGAATTCTCACCTAAACATGACTTTTGAATAAGCCCCACAGTGCAGAGGTATACTGCCTTACACTGTATGCATTTAGCTAATTGTTCAATTGTTGAACATAACCACAAAATAATTAATTCCCCACATGAACAGTGTCCCAAAGGTAATGTTGTGACTCCAAATATTCTGAGAAAAAGAGACACGTGTTCACCAGTTTTGGGTCTCAAACAGAAAGGTGTCAAAACGAAGGATATTATTTACTAATCAATTTAAAGATTATTGCAGTCTGCATATCAACATAATGCATATCAACATAAAATTATTTGTTTTGATCTGAATTGCATTGAAATTCATCCTTATTCAATTCCTTTAAATGAGATTCCTTTAAATGAGGAACTTATTGTCTTAATTAAATTTTGAGTTTAATATATTTGACCACAGACATATATCTTTAATTGTATAAATTATCAATGTATATAACTGAAATTATGAGATGTAAAATTGCTTCATAATGAGTTTATATATTATGCCTATATTCATTAGATTTATAGGCAGTGTTTTTTTTTTCAATTGAATAAATGCTGGGTAGCAAGCTTAAGTTTAAATAAATATATGAGATATTTATAACTGAGATCTACATAAAGCCACAGATAATAATCAATTGTGCATACAGAATAGTCTGTAGGCTGTTTGTAAAACTCATATAAACAGAATGAACAGCTACTCAAATAAAGGTTATCCACAATGAAATTCCAGACACAGGTAGAGGATACAGTCCAAGATTTCATTCACAAAGATTCCTGCAAAAACAATATGAAAGAAACATAACAATTCTGAGGATAATGAAATTGTTGTAGTAGTAGCAGCAACAGCAGCAGTAGCACTAACACTAGCAGAATTGTAGCAGTAGTTGTACAAGTAGCAGCAGTAGTACCAGAAGCCTAAAGCATCAGAAGTAGCAGTAGTAGAGGTGATGCTAGTAGCAGTTTTAGTAGTAGTAGTAGTAGTTGTAGTAGTAGTAGTGGTAGTAGTAGTAGTAGTAGTAGTTGTAGTAGTAGTAGTAGTAGTAGTAGTGGTAGTAGTAGTAGTAGTAGTAGTAGTAGTAGTAGTAGTAGTAGTAGCAAGTAGTACCAGGAGTAGCAGCCTAAAGCAGCAAAAGTACTAGTAAAAGTGATGCTGGTGGCAGTGGGAGTTTTAGTAGTAGTAGTAGTAGCAGCAGCAGTAATATTATTAGCAGTAGTATCAGGAGTAGCAGCATCAGCAGCCTAAAGCTGCAGCAGTAGTAGTAGAGGTGATGCTGGAGGCAGTGGCAGTGTCTGTTTTTTAGAAGTAGTAGCAGGAGTAGAATTAAAAGTAGTAGCAGAAGTAGCAGTAGTAGTAGAGGTGATGCTGGTGGCAGTGTTGGTTTTAGTAGTAGTAGTAGCAGTAGTAATAGTAGTACCAGGAGCAGCAGCATCAGCTGGCTTCCATAAAATTGCTAAACGTCGCTACAGCATTTTCCCTGCAATCTTTGAGCTTTCCCTGACGCAATCGGGAATGCTCCGATTCAACTGACCAATCAGCGTCGCCAAAAGTCGGTGATAGCGTGTAGCGATTTTATGGAAACTAAGCTTTAAACAGCAGCAGTAAAATCAACATTCATAATAGAAATGACTAACTTACTTGTCCATATAGAAAAATATATAGCCATTCTTTTGCCTCAGCTCCTGCACTTTTTTTGCAGTGGTGCGCAAGACCTCTGAGTCATCGTAGCTATACCAGCTAGCCTTCTTGTGGTCACATACATCACTGACATAGTGTCCAATGGCAGAGGTACTGCCTATATGACTCACAATGCTTAGCAGCTTGTAGGAGTGTGGCATCTGTCCATCCTATCAATCAATTAATCAATCAATCAATCAGTCAATGAGAATGTGATTACAAAGGTGAAATATGTATCGAAAGACACCTCTTTATAATTAATAGGTTTATATTTTTATGCGGATTTATCAAAGTGAAATTCAGCTGTGGATTGGTCGTTGAAGCCTTGTCCAGATGTCTATCAAATTTTATTTGACAAAAAACTGTTGCATGTCCATAGTCATGATGTGCCTATATATGGTCATGGTATGATGTCATCATGACCATATTTAGGCATGTCACATGTTTTTGTCACATGAAATTTGATAGTCTGGACAGAGCTTAAGATGCTTGCCTTCTGATTCTAGGGATCTGGGTTCAAATCCTGTAATAAAACACCAGGATATTTCTTCTCGCATCTAAATCCACTTCTCAAACTTCATGCTGAGCAAGTATATTTACAGATACAATAGATACTTTCCCCAATAGAGAGACGCTTACACAAATCTATCCGAGTTGTCATGATGTTTACATTGTCCAAAATGCAGAAAAGGTTAAATAGAGATTCCCGCTGCATTATTACTTGATGGTAGAGATGAGGAATTGTCATTACTTAATGAGAGATTCCCCTATAATTAAACAAGAATCTTCATTCTTGCTTTCATTATGCAATTTTCTTGTTAATTATTATTGTATGATTTCTTAGGGAAATACATGTAATTAAATTGCATCTCCAATTGAAATTCTTACATTGTCACATAATAGCTCAACATGTATTCATCTATGATTGTTTAGAATGAAAACATCCTGAGCTATCACTCTTGTGACTTAATCTGACTATGTAACCTACATCGATATTCTAAGAAAGTAGTACAGGTCTCCCTCCAATTAAAGACCACTTTTGACACCGGGGTTTCTATGGTCTTTAGCAACTTTGTTAATTTGGGACCACAGAAAGGTGGTCTTTAATTGGAGGTGGTCTTAAATTGGAGGGGTCTTTAATTAGAACAATACCTGTATACATTATTAAAGCCAACTCCACTTACCTCATAATTTCTCTCTAGTTCTTCTTCCTCTTCTTTTGTATATTCCACATCTTTTGTATTCTCTGCACCTACATGATGATGATGCTTGACCATATTATTTTTACTGGCTTTTTCTTCAAATTCTAAAAATTGAATGAAAAAAATGCACATTAGTAAATAATGCACAAAAATAAATAAATATAATTATACATATCAGGCTTATCAACCCAAAACCAATGTGCTGTCGTTAAATTTTAAACTGGGTAATTAGCATAAGAATGTGGCAGTAATGTAGACAAGCTGTAATACTTTTACTCATGACTGGCATTAGTAAGTTGATTCCAGTAATAATAATAATAATAGTGTAGTTTTATATAGCGCACAAATCCATCTAATGTAAGATGCTCAGGGCGCTTGAAATGTGGACTAGGAACTCGATCAATGACTTTCTTCGCTCCTAAGGGTCCCTTCGTGTCTGTGCTACCCGGTAACCCGGTACCAGCAACTCTCGTCGTCCACCACAGGGGCTGTCTGTTCCAATACACCAGGGTATCCCCCTACTCGTCTCTAAGGATGTACTGGGTTCTTTATAGTACACACGAGCCATTGTATACACTGGGCCTACGGTTTATAGTCCTTATCCGAGAAGACTTGTTCTACCACCAGAACAATAGGCGAGCGTGCCATTCGATCCAGCGCCGATATTATGGCTATAGCTTGACCTATCATTTTTAAGCTTATAATGTGGAGAATAATAATATATTAAAAACTCAATTTTCTTGTTTTGGTCACTGATGTTAGTTTTGGCATGGCAAGCCCCATATTTGTAATATTTAGCATTCGATAAAATACATAATGTGGTAACTTAGGGTTTACTTTTGTTCAAAGTATACAAAGAATTTAAAATTGTACAAATACAAATTTCAAAACTTTCAGGTGCAATGCCTCAGTTGATATTATTTACAGCACCAAGAGAGTTTATGCGTTCTATTCCTATGTGGATACCTTTCAATCTTCTTCACTAGTGATTTACAGTGTGCAGAGTATAGGGGCTGGATTTATCAAAATAGAAATCAGCTTAAATTCGTCTTGAGTCCAATTGCTTAAAATTAAGAAGTTGACTGTACGTTGACTGTACACATGTGCTTTCTTAGATGATTTTAAAGCTCAGATTTTGCTAAGATGGTTTTATAAATCAGCTTGGGATATTTGCCTAGGGACATCTTAACATTTTTGAATTAAGGCATTTGCCAAGCTGAGATTCATAAATCCCTGGCCAGAGCTGTAATAGTTTTACTCATAACTTTGGCATTAGTAAGTCGATTCCAGTAATGACCTATCATTTTGAAGCTCATAATTTGGAGTTTTGGCATGGGAAACCCTATATTTGTAATATTTAGCATTCAATAAAATATGTAATGTGGTATTTTAGGATTTAGTTCTTATGCAAATACAAAGAATTTAAAATTGTACAAATACAAATTTCAAAACTTTCTAGTGGTCTCAGTTGATATTTAAATATCAACATTATCCACATTTCAGTTCTAATGCAATTTGAGAATGCATCAAACCGCAGCTATCAGTTCTACGGTCTAATGGTTTAGTACCAAGAGAGTTTATGGGTTCAATTCCCACCTGAATATATTTCAATTTTCTTCATTAGCAATTTAAATAATTTATTGATTACACAGTTCATTAATTACAATAAACTTGGGAAAACTACATGTATCACTATTTAAATAATGAATTTGAAATATCAGTACAAGTATTGTAGTATAGTGGTTAAGACGATAGCTTTTCAATCCATGGTCTTGAGTTTTTTTTTCTCATCTAAACAATGTGCATGATTTAATACCTTGCAGGCTCAGCTCCAAAGCTCTTTCTATGGCCAAGGCTTCATCTTCTTCATTTAAAGGAGTATCATCTGGTAAAACAAAATATAACATATTACATGCAATATAACTTAAATTTATTTGAAGCACATATCCAATTTAGAAGTGCTCAATGTAGAGACGGAGTGTGAAAGCTTGTGGTCATGTAAATTATTCCATGAAATGCCTGAAACTAGCCAGGGAAAATAAGCAGAAGAAATAAACATGAAACTTATGGTGAAAAGAAATGAAAAAAAAAAAAGAAAGGCGAATAAAAATAAACGAACACCGCTTTGTTTACCAACAGTTTCAAGCCGTCAATAAGGGAGAGAGTGTATTCTGTGAGGTTTACTTGTAACAGCTATTTCCAACAGATACACATTGGTCAAAATATCCTATGATAGGTAAACTTACTTTTGTAATTATGCTGTGTCTGACCGTGGGGTGAAGTTGTTCTTTTTTCTTGACTAGGTCGGTGCTCCATTTCCTCTGTCCTGACATCAGCATTATCCGTACAAGTTCCATTTGGACTGGTATCTTTTCCATCCGGTAACAAAGGCTCAACTCCTTCCATTGATACTCCGCTGTCATTTGCAACAGTGCCGGTTGGTATAGATTTCCTCCCTAAGCTATTGTCCAAATTCAGACCTATTCCACTATCCCTGTTTCTTTGCTCACTAGAACCGTCAAAGTACAACTGCTTCCTAGTCGTTTCGACTGGGTTACTTTCTTTGCATTTGTCAAATGCAGACTTTGGGGTTGTTAACTGAGGTGTGAATGTCGTTTCATGTTTGCTTAACTCTAACACCATGGCAAGCTGGTCTTCTTCGGTCATCTCGCCTTTTGAGGGCATCATTTTACGAGCACTTTCCTGTCGGCTCATTTCAATTGCAAATGCCAATTGTTCCTCCTCACTCATCTCTTCAAGAGGCTTGGTTTCAGCACTAATTTCTTTACCCTGAATAACAATACAAATAATAATAATAATAATGATAGTGATAATAATAATAATAATAACAATAATCATAATATGAAATGTTTGCCCTACCTGACATGTTATATGTACTAAATTCTTAGTACATTCCCAAATACTTTTTAAAAGAATCTTGCAAGTTATTTGGCGTGTTGTATGTACTAAATGCTTAGTACATTCCCAAATACTTTTTAAAAGAATCTTGCAAGTGATTCGGGTGCATTCTATGAAACTTAACATACCTTGTCATCTTTATCGCTGTCTATCGTTAGGTCTACCACTGGTAAATCTGCATCAGTATCAATCAATTTCTTGCGCTTGAACGCAAATCCATTTGGAGTGTCCACCGAGCTGGCAAAAAGAAAATATTTTTTTGTTTAATTTATTCAGTGCAAAAACAGGAACAAGTTGGGTGAGTCTACATGTTTTATATATATATATATCCTTCTCAATAAAGAAAAATCATAAACTTTATACTTTAGAAGGAGATGACTTTGTTCAACATAAATGCTTTTGCTGCTGTTGCTTTTGTTTAAAGAAATAATATATTGTGTACCTGTTACTTTCATAACTTAGCCTCTTCCGGGCTGGTCGTCCTGATTCTTCTGCTGGTCCAGGACTCATCATTTCTGGCTTCCTGAAGTTAATCATTTGTAACAAGACATCTTTGTTACATCATCAATACAACAAAAGCTAAACAACTTGTGAAAAAAATTATATATCTATATGACGATATTGAAACAGAAAACACAAAGCAGCAGCAACAACAAAAATAAGAATAAAAATTAATATTTTGATCATTTTGTTTAGTGCTGGTATAAACCAGGTTACTCCAATGTAAAATTCTTTAAAGTTATCTATTACATAACATTCAAGAAGGGTGGTCCAACAGTGAAGCACCCTCATGCTAATCATTCGGGATTCTCAAAGTTTCCTTATAACGCTTAGTAAGCAAAGTTTGTTTTTGTTTTTTCTTGGCTTTTCATATTTTAGGTTTTAAAGTGTCGTTAACATGGGGAGACGTTTCCAGGAACATAAGTTCACGTCCAACAGAGTTCACTCACGGTGCCAAGTCCACACCTGTCCAAAATACCTATTTTTATATTGCACACAGTGGTTGCCAGAACAGACTCATGAACAGGTTCAGGGAAGGACCTCGAAGTGATTATCTAAAAATAACTACCATATGTTTGTTTGTATTTCACTAAAGTTGATTGAAATGGTTCCCATGGTGGCGCCGTTTATGTCTTGTCATACAGGATGGAACTTTGAAAAAAAGGCCCGGCAGTCAACGTGTTCATTCTCTGCCCCCACTACTGATACTTACATGGAGACTTTGTTGCGCTGGCAGGTGAATGGCTTGGCTGGTTCACTATGTTCAGTGCAGTGCCTGGCTAGAGTCATGTAACTTGGAATAACGATACTTTGGCAAACTTTGTGAGCTGAATTCACATCAAAACTGTAGCGTTTCAGTTGAAGAATTAATACCCTACGATAAAAACAAAAAATAAAGTCTTTTAACGTCATTTTGACTTTCTTTAACAAGACAAGCTAATTATTTGTTTATCTATAATTATCATTATTAATCCTAGTAGTATGTATTTATGGTACTGTATGTAGGAATTTTCTGTGAACCACAAATGCATACTTATTTTAAGCACATAAAGTTGTATTTAAATATGTTAATAAAACTAAATAAAACTAAAGCAGCTTGTTTAATTTTTAATCATTAATTATATAACTATTATGAACTATATTGTTTTGGCCTTTATAACATAAATATAAGTTATCACTACCACCATTTCATTATGAAATTGCTAATACCTTGGAAGTTTGGTGAATGAATGTGTGACAGTAGACTCCTTGCAGCCACACTCTTCACATGTATATTCTAATGACTCCAACTGAAAAAACTGGTCTAAAGCTGTCTGGATGGAGGCTCTTGAAACAGAATTCCTGGAGAGAAAATTCAAGCAGGAAACAAGTTTATTTAGATAATGTCTTTCTGATTTTCTTTTTTTATATACCGTATTAATTCGAATAATCACCCCAAAGTAAAATTTTGAGGGGGTGTTTATTTGAGGAAGGCGTTTAATCGAAAGGAAACGTTTATTATTTTTGGTGCAAAATTCCCCATAATTTCACTTAAGTAATTACCATCAAAAAGTGTAACTGCATGATCATAAAGACTACAGCAATTGATTCCAACATTGAACGCACAGCTTGTTTTGCTGCATGATTGCTTTCAACTCCGGCTAGCGCAATAGATTTGGGATCGCCCACTCTTAACATGGGTTGTATTTTTAATGAGTTGACATTTCCTACCGTAAATTTAATCTCATAATGACACCAGGAAATATATTTTGTTTTTATTTTCATAATTATGAAACAACTCCCTGAGTTTGAGATTTTGAATGAATGTAGTACAAGTCATCCCCTACTTTTACTTAATGTACGGTACAATCGTAACCTATAAAAGACCATTGGCTAATTTCAGCCTAGGCTAGGCTTAGGCAAGCCAGAGTTGTCTAGGCCTAGGCTAGAGGTTTGCCTACCGTAGGCATAAAATAAAAAAAAGGAATCCCTTCTCAAACCTGTGCTTTTAACTAATAGGTCTAGGTACCTAAGGCTAATTAAATATTAAATTTCAATGCATGTACAGAAAAAGATTGTGATCTACAATCCCACGGTAGAAATGGATTATACCAACTATGATGCCTCGGCATAGCTTCAGAAATCACCGTTTTAAAATCGCAAATTCAGTTATATAGTACATACATTGGAGTTTATACATCGATAATAAGTATCACAAATATGTACACTTACTATGAATATAACTTATGCAAAATCAGACAAAAAAGACACAAAATCACAAACTATCTGGTCAGTGGTAGATATTTTGGACAGAACACCTGAGAAACAACATCGTTCGAGCACTGTGTAGACTATAGGATTCCCAAAGATTCCATCGTGATTAGACCGTTCAACAAAAAAGGGTGTGCAGGTCAGAACTATTGTTAAATTTAACCAATTTTTAGATTTTTCTAAAGCCAATGATGATAATTTATACAAATTAAATGATTGATTACATGCGGTGCAAGAGCCCTTGGAAGCGAAAATTATGCTCCAAAATACTGCAAAAGTCAGGTATTCACATTGAAAAACACTCATGTATTTTAGTCTCTGCCGATTGCCCAGAACACTTACTGGACTTGGAATTAGTATAAACATATAAGTGTTAAACTAATGAACACTTTGGAAGCCTATATAACTTTATGGGATAGCTATTATGATTTTCAGAGTCAAAAACAGCTAATATTCATCATTATTCACGTTATCCATTGAGTGTGTTGTGTTTTGGTCTCCCAAAAATAATTGTATTGTGTTGACTGGTAATGCTTCCTTTAGTTTTGTTAGTCACTTAAGGGGTGTTTTCGATGAAGAAATGAACGCTCTGAAGGGGTATTTATTCAAGGGAGGGTCTATTATGGCATTTGTTCAAATAAGTATATTATATTCAATTTTTATTAAAGTATATCAAATGTATACTTTATAATATACATAATGCATCTCATATTTTCTTTTTCTTATATGATTTCCAGCTTGCATTTATCACAATGATGTTTTGAATTTGACAACTAAAAATACATTGTTTTTATTTTTTCACTGAATAATGAATATTGAAAATAAACAAACAAACCGTGCAGGCCTTATGTAATGCTTTGCATCCACTTATCTAGGATTTGCATACATGCTTAATTAAAGAGCGTGATAAAAATGTTATTTCTTATTATAATAATTACATTTTATTGTTATTTTCTTCTTTTTCTCTATCATTTAAATGAAACAATACTAAGCTGTAATAGACAAAATATCCATTATACAAATTACATGAAAAATTATTCATCCGAAAAGTTAAACCAACCTTCTTTTTGGAATGTCCAACGACAGATCATGACAGATTTCCGATTTAGTAACGACTTCTTTGCACTTGTTACATCGTATCGTGTGAAGGACGGTGAATTCAAAATTGCGAGATATTGCACAGGGATACTTGGCTGGCGTACTCTGATCATTGGCAGCATCTAGAGCGAGTCGTTTGGTATTTTCTACATCTTTTAAGGAGGTAGCATTCTTGTTCAGTTTTAGGACATCTTCCTTGAGTTGGTCGAGACACTGTCCTAAGAATTCATGGGCATCCTATGCAAGTACAAGTACACAAGAGCTAAATAATTAATTAGTAAAATATGTTTTCTTTCCATTACATTCTTGTTTATTTTATTATTTTCCCACAAAATACAAATTAATGAAAACCCCCTTAACACTGGACTGGATTTCTTTGGTGCAATACACACGAAGGATACCCCACAAAAGTCCTGGGACTTACTTCCAGTGGGGTCATTCTGGTGGTGAATTAGGCAATACACAGGGAGACAATCCCTTACTTATTTTAAAAGTTTACTGCGTTCTTTAACGTACACAAGTGACAAATGGCTTAAACGTCTCATTCGAAAGATACAAGATGAAGAATGGTATGCAGCCACAATAATTTCTTAAAAAAAAAATTTATATATCATCACCAACATGTTATATATATATATATATATATATATATATATATATATATATACATATATATA